TGTGTGTGTGTGTGTGTGTGTGTGTGTGTGTGTGTGTGTGTGTGTGGAATAGACCCTTTTGCAGTTTGATGAAGCCTATGGACTTCTCAGAATAATGTTTTTTAAGGGCATAAAATAAAATACAGAGCATGACAAAGGAGACCAATTATCTTGAGATCTATAGTTGATAAGGGGGTAAACAATTTGGAATGAAACAAATCATTCAATGGGAAGTATTGTGCTTATCCAGGATTCTTTCTTCATTTGTATTCTATATATATAAAACAATAACCCTTGAATATCTCAGTTGGGAGTTTATTATATTCAAATTTTCTTCATCTGTATTCAATATATAATAATAATCCTTGAATATTCCAGTGGGGAGTTTATTATATTCAAATTTTCTCATAATCCATATCCTGGGAGTTATCAAAATACTTTTTTTTAAAAACAAGGTAATGGATCCCAGGTTAAGAACCCCTGGTATAAAACAGAAAGCTTTATGAGCCCTCATTGTACATCCAGAAAACACATTGTAGAGAGATTTGATTTCAGTTTTTGCTTGGAGTTATAGCAGCAATCCCTTACATTTGTTTGGTGCTTTACACTTTTCAAAATACTCTCTTCTGATCTCGTTTTATTCTCACAATGAAGTTAGGGCAGGGATTGTTATCCTCATTTGATGCATAACAACAACAATAATAATGGCAGCTAGTATTTATATAGTACTTCAAGGTTTGCCAAATGCTCCACAATATTATCTCATTTAATCAGCATAACAATTCTGTAAGGTAGGTGCTATTATTATCATCCCCATTTTACAGATGAAGAAACTGATACTTCTTCCTCCTGAGGCTCAGAGTTTAAGTGACTTGTTCGTGAAGACAGCTAACTGGGGGAAGTTAAAGCTCAGTCGGTCAGTCAGTTGATTAGTCAACAAACATTTATTAAGCACTCACTATGTGCTTGGCACTGTGCTATGCACTAGAGATGCTAAGAAAGACAAAAACACCACCCCTGTCCTCAAGAAGCTCACATTCTAAGCAAGCTCGAGAGTCCCTGCCATCAGCATATTATGCTGTGAGCACATCCGATGGATAAGATCCAGATTGACGAAACGGTGCATTGGGGGTGATTGCTCAGATTATAAGAAGAGCAAAAACTGCTTTGCAAAAGGCTTCTCCACAGGGTTCTTTTAAATAACCAGCTCTCCCAGCAAATTGCAAATGTGAACCAATTTATAACAATGATTTACACATTTTTTGGGGAACTCAAATATGGTTCAAAGCAAGACAAATATCTTAAAGTCTATCCTGTCCTCCTTTGGCTCAGTAACCTTTCCTAGGCAATGGAGAAAACCTTGCCTTCTGCAGGAGGTCTTTTCCAGCCCTTAACTTCTCTCTTCATCATCTCTCTCCCTCTACCACCAGTGCCTTCTCTCCGAGATTACCTCCACTTAAATATATCGTATGTAATCATTTGCATGGTGTCTCTCCCATCAGAATGTGAGCCCCTGGAAGTAAGAGACTATGACTATGACTTTTTTTCTGTATCTCTGAAATTAGTACACTGCCTGGCATACAGTAAGTGCTTAATAAATGTTTGATGATTAGCTGACTTGACCAGGTATTCCACCCCCCCCCCCCCCCCCCCCGTTCTGTCCCATCCCAACCCTTCCCTAGCAGGAGCTACTGCAGAGAGAACCAGAGAAATTGCTACTGGAGATGGAATCTACTTCCTCCAGCCCTTCCACATACCCATAAACCTCTGACAGGTGATGTTGTTTTGACTAAATCCAGGGTCTCCAACAACAACTTTCTCCCCCTCTTAGCAGACAAGCTGGAGCTGAACCCTGTCACACAACAGCCCCGCCTAAGAACTCTTTGTGAAGGAGGGAGTTCGGGTAGAGCTTGGCCAATTAGGATGGCAGCAAAGGGTTTGGCAAGGAGGCTGTGATGGCAAATCCACAGGAGGCCAACACTTCTTAGTGAACAGCGGGGTGCAATCACCTCTGGTCGCCTGTTTCCAGACATCTGAAATACACCTGTGTGTTTACATTCTCATCTCCTGCCGAGAACGGAGCACAGAAGACTTATTGCTTCACAGGAAACAAGAGCAAGACGGCTTCCCGCTGGGGTTCTGAATAATCATATGGCCTTGGCAGACACATTGCCATCCTTCACCCCATTCCCTTTCAGCTGGGCTTGGGAGCCTGGGAGTAGCCTTATCACACCCTTTGTAGTCCTTACTAAATGAAGAATGATATTTACACCTAGAATAAACTCCCCTTCTCTTAAATCAGGATCTGATGAAATGAATATTTTTTTTCTAGCTATGTGAAAAAAAGGATAGGCAGTATGGTATAGTGGAAAGAGGGCTCATCTTGGAGTCAGAAAGACCTGGGTTCTATTCCTACCTCAGATCTATGGTGGGTGTGTGACCAAGGGCAATTCTCTTAATCTCTCAGTTTTTCAGACAACTCTTGAAGGCTATAAATTACAAAGAGCTGCGTATCTGCATTTAAGGGAGTCCTCCATGCCAAGTGAAATCACAGGTTGGTACCAAAAAGGATAATTCATCATCTTTACTTGGGGGAAAAAAAAAAAACAAAAAAAAACCCCTCTTAAGTTAAATATTTCCTGCTGAATATATTTTCCTTTCTCTATCCCTTAGGGAACTAGAAAAAGAGAAACTTCACTTCCCCACCAGTAGCAAACCCATCCCCCAATAATCACCCTGTCCCTCCCCATCCCGCTGCTTTCTTCCACCATGAGCTAAAATCCTACCTTCTACAAAGAAGCCTTTCCCCATCCCTCTCAATACTATGCCTTCCCTCTGTTGAGTATTTATGTTGTATCCAGTTTACATCTTGTTTGTAACATCCTTGTTTGAATGTTGTCTATTCCATTAGACTGAGAGCTCTTTAAGGGCAGGGATTTGTCTTTTAACTTTCTTTGTAAGCCTAGTGCTCAGCACAATGTCTAGCATATTTGTTGTTGTTCAGTTGTGTCCAATTCTTCACAACACTGTGGACCACAGCATGCCAATATTGTCCATGGGGTTTTCTTGGCAAAGATACTAGAGTGGTTTGCCATTTCCTTCTCCAGCTCATTTTACAGATGAGGAAACTGAGGCCAACAGGGTTAAGTGACTTGACCAGGGTCACACAGCTAGTGTCTGAGGCCACGTTGGAACTCAGGCCCAGAGCCCTATCCACTGAGTTACCTACCTGCCATAGTAGGCACTTAATAAGTGTTTATTTGTAAATCGGGGAGGGAAGCCAGAACATTTTGAAGAGTCTCTGCAGAGGAATGAAAGTAGGGACATGAATTTTAAGTTCTAACTTTTTTTTTGGTAGGGGGAGTGGTGGGGCTGGTTTAGACTGGAGATTCCACTTGTATAAGGGAACTCAGAGGAAACTCTCTACCAGATCAGCATTTGTTCTAGGAAGTTGTAGTTTCAGAGTCACCTGGGGTCCTGAGAGGTTAAGGGACTTTGTTCAAGGTCACAATCCACTTACTATGTGTCAGAGGGGACACTTGAATTTGAGTCTCGCTGACATAAGCCCAGCTTTTCAGCACTATCAAAGTTCTGACTTTGCCCCTAGTTAACTGTGTGACTTCAGGCAAGATCGTTCCCTTTGTTGGGCCATAGTTTCTTCATATTTAAAAGGAGGGGTTTGAATTAGATCACCTCTTTGGTCCCTTCCAGGGCAAACATTTCATGAATCTATGAGTATTTCTCTTCTGTGAATTGAAAACAAAGCATACCAGAGCTGCTAGATTTGCAAGGAATTCTGAACGGATTTCATTAGCAGGCGGGTCTTAGCAGCTACTGTGACAACTGATGGTAGGTGGAAGCTAAGGTGGGAAAAATTTCTAATAAGTGACTTCTTTGTAATTCTCTAAGCAGTGGAGAACTGCCACAGCCAGACACTTTAAAGAGTCTCGGAGGTTAGAGACTTCAGATACATCTCAACCTGTACATGAACAAAAATGTTCTCTAACATTCTCAAGTGAGCAATCATCTAGCCTTCAGGGGAAGACCTTTAGTGAGGGAAAATCCACCACCTCTCAGTGCAGCCCATTCCACTTTTGGGTGACTTTAATAGTTAGGAAGCTTTTCTTTAAAATCAAACCTAAATCCACCTCTCTGTAGATTCTATTTATCATTTGTAGTTTTACCCTCTGGGTCTAAGCAGAACAAGTTTAACTAAGCCTCCTTTTCTGTGTTGTTGTTTTTCAGTTGTGTCTGACTCTTCTTGACCCTATTTTGGGGTTTTCTTGGCAAAGATGCCAGAGCGTTTTACCATTTCCTTCTCCAGCTCATTCTACAGATGAGGAAACTGAGGCAAATAAGGTTAAGTGACTTGTGATCCAGCTAGTAAGTTTCTCAGACCAGATTTGAACTCAGGTCTTCCTGACTTCAGGTCTGGCACTTTATCCATTGCACCACCTAGGTGCCCCGTTTCCATGACCACTTATCTAGGTTCCTAGACTTTGCCCATTAGTCTTGCAGGCCCATTGGCTTTGCATCACAGTTGAAATGTGATGGCTATGGCCCAGGGCCTTCTCTACTCACATTTTCCTCAGGTTGGGCAACTTCTTGAAGATCCCAGTGGCTTCTAGGACAGGGATTTCATTGTCATTTAGGCGTCTGGAAGTGAAGCAAGAGGGAAGAAGGAAATTAGGTATTAAGATAAGTGGCTTCCATTCCTCCTACCCTTGAAAGGCTGTGACCTTCACGGAGATAACGTCATAGAGCTCCACATATCCATAGTCCCTACATGGGTCACAACATCTGAAAGACATAACTGAGTAGAATCCCATCTGTACTATCAGATGCTTCTCATTTGAATACTTGGCATCTTAATTCTAAAGGTAATGGAGAGGTATTGGAAGAAAAGAAAAGTCACCACTATCTATCCACCTCCATCAGGAATCATTCCTGGATTACGAGAGTTGTCTTTTTTTGGATATATCCATGTGTATAATTATTTCAGCACTTAAATTCACTATTCATTTTAATTCAATTGGGCAAACATGTATTAATTGTGTAGAGCACAGTGTTAGGTGTTAGAGGAATAATAATAAAAATAGCATTTATATATCACGTTAATTTTTGTAAAGTGCCTTATAAAGATCATCTCATTTGATCCTCACAATGACCCTGGGAGGTAGATGCTATTATTATCCCACTTTTACAGTTGAGGAAACTGAGGTAGACAGAGGTAAAATGATTTGGCTAGGGTCATGCAGCTAGTGTGAGACTGGATTTGAATTCAGGTCTTACTGACTCCAGGCCCAGAGCTCTAACAACTGTGCTACCTAGCTGCCTCAAGACATATGCTGATCGCCATGAAGCTTACATTCTGGTAAAGGCATAAGCATGTATATATACCAAGAACTATCACACAAAAGAGAGAAGTGAGGTGGAGCAGTGATTAGAGGGCTGGCTTTGGAATCGGAAGAACTGGGTTAAAATCCTGCTTCTGACACACACCCTAGTTGTTGGACCAGACAACTAAGACCATCTCTTACTACTACAGGCAACTCTCTGAGAGTAAGTTATGGAGGAGGAGAGCTACCTGCATGTGTGGAGTGACTTTCTACACCTGAACTGATGAGATCATAGGTCCAGAATAAAGATAAAAAAATACAAAATAATACATGAGATATGTGAAAGAAAGTGCTCTAGGAGGTCCGAAGGGGGAAAGGTGATACCTGCCTTGGGGTGGAGTCAGGGAAGACTTCACAGAAAAGGTGGCATTTGATGGGAGTTTTAAAAAATAGGGAGGAATTTAACTGGCAAAGAAGTAAAAGGAGACATGGGGAACTGGGCACAGTGAAAACAGAAACCTCACATTTTTGTAATGCTTTACAGCCATTCTCTCATTTGCTGACAGGTGGCATAGTGGATAGAGCACAAGACTTGGGAGTCAAGAAGACTTAACTGAAATCCTGCCTCAGACTCTTACTGGCTTTGTGACCCTGGGCAAGCCACTTGACTTCTTATGTATCTCAGTTTCCTCATCTGCAAAATGGGGATAATGATAGTATCTACTTCCCAAGGTTGTTGAGAGGATCAAATGAGTTAATACATGTAAAGTTCTTTGGAAAGCCAAACAGTACTTATATAAATGCTAGCTATTATTAATATGGTTACCATTTCACATATGAAGAAACTTAGAGCCAAATAAATGAGGTAACTTGCCTATTGTCAAGTGGCTAATAAGGGGCTGCAGGCCAGAATTCAAACCGAAGTTTCTCCAACTCTAAACCCATTGATCTTTTGACCACACCACATGTATACTTTAAAAATATCTCAGGCCACCCACCACATCTCTGAGCCGCCTCCCTCTGCTTAGGCAATGGGAAACAACTTTTTTTAATATGTGCCCAAGGAATGCTATTTGTAATGCACTGTTGTGGTCAGAAAAAGACACACCTTTAACTGTCAATGACATTTTGGATACTGTAATTATGGTTTGCCCACTGATACCTTCATTAGCATAAATTAGTTAAGAAAATACTCTTATTATCCCCTTCTTGCCACTTTAATCTTCTCACACTTTACCCTCCCCTAATACTCTGTAATCCAGCAACATTGGCTCCATTGCTACATCTGGAACAAGATTCTTCATCTTCCAACTCCAGGCATTTTTTACTGGTTATCATCTATACCCAGAATGTTCTCTCTCCTCATCTCTGACTCTTGGATTCCTTCAAGTCTCAGTTAAAAATCTCCCTTTCTTCAAGAGGCCATTCTTGGTTCTGCTTAATGCTGGCGCCTTCCCTCTGATATTATCTCCCATCTGCCTGCCTATATTTTGTATGTACACAGCTGTTTGCATGTTTCTCCTCCATTAGAATGTGAGCTCCTTGAAGGCAGGAACTAGATTTTTGCCTTTTTTGTATCTTCAAAGTTTAGCACAGTGCCTGATGCAGAACAGATGATTTATAAATGCTTGATGACTATTGACTGATTAACCATTTCAACAGCTTCATAGTCATGATCTTCTGGGAGGCCAGAAATATCTCTGTCTTTTCTAGGTACTGCCCTGTTTCCCCCCCACCCCCGCCCCGCCACAGTCTCAAGATTGAATCAAGTGTCCATCAATAGCAATGGAACACACCCGACTCAACAGAGTTATAGGATGGATATTGGTATTGGTGATCACAGATGGCCTGGTGAATGTCAGAAGACTTACAGGTCAGTCACATATTCTGGGATGTGGCTGGGGATCCGGACCAGTTTCTGGTTGGAGCAGTCCACGATGGTGCCTTCACAGCGACACTTCTCAGGACACACAAGGTCCATGAAGCAATCCCCACTGAATTTGTTCCGATAGTCCTCAGAACCTGGGCAGGGAGGCAGAATGGGGGCCACATCAGCTTCTCATATACCCCCAGACAGAGATGTCAGGAAAGGATGAGAAGAGAGGAGTCAAAAAAGGGGTAGCTTGCTACACTATCCTGTCCACACATGCTTTCTCTTTTCTAGAGACTGGTTGATTAGATTGTAAGCTCCCCTGAGGGCAGGTACGGTCTCTTGCCTCTTTTTGTATCCCTAGTGTTTTGCAGAGTGCCTGGAACAGAGTAGGTCATTAATAAATGTTTATCGATTGATTGATTGATTCAGCATGGTACAGTAGGTCAAGTACTATGCAAGAAGAGTCCTTCCAGGGCCTGCCTTGCCACTTTCTAGTTGTGTGACCTTAGAGCAAGATGTTTCCCCTATCTCTGGGTTTCCTTGTCTTTAAAATGAGGGAATTAGACTAGATAATCTCTAAATTCTCTTCTTGCTCCAACTTTCTGAATAAAAATTATTTATGCACTTTTTTGGTACTATCCACCTCTTCCCTGCTTCTCTCCACTCTGCCATAGCCCCTTCCCCAGTTTTCCTGGTACCAATTATTTACAGATAAATGCTTAGGCATACTTTTCACTCTCATATTTTCACTCATAGTCTCAGGGATCAAAATTAAAAAATAATCAAGACATTGGGAGTGCTTTGTAGCTACTGAAGTTAAATCTCATTAATTCAGATTAACTGGGGTAGGAGGTAGGCCAGATTAGAATTATAAACTATTTTAAAGAAATTTATTTTTATTCCTTTGGGATATATAGGAACTAGAAATGAACTAATGATGCATTGCCTCTGGGAGGTTTTTAGGGGAACTGCTATAATAAAGAGATGAAAATTATTTGTAATTTTATATCTGAAGTTTCAAATTTTTATTACAAAAATGTGTAATTTTTGTACTCTGCATGAATACTTCTGAAGTATCCAAAGGGACTTAAAAACAGTTTGTTTTTACATGGAGTTTAAAAGCTTCCTGTGTAATCCTATTTATACTAGTAACTTAGTGAAACCTTTCTTTATCAACAAAACAAAAGCAAACTTTAGGCCAATCCAATGAATGATTACAAATCCAAAATTAGTGGTGATTGAAGTGTCATTGGTCTCTTTTGGGTGATGATTGGGATGACCAGGACAAACTTTCTCACCTCTTAGCTTCCCTTTACTCACATTTGCACTGACTCCTAGGTGGCAGGCATTTGTCTAAAACTGAGGGAGCTCTGGGGACCATTCCATCCCAGTCTGTGAGATGCAAGAAGCTCATGGAAAAAAAGCACATGAGCTTCCGTACATTTGGGGCTTTCTGTCTCAAAGTATTAGGCAAATTGGCTGCCCAAGGCTCTCTAGTTCTATCCCCTCTGGACTATACTGACTTGGATGATGTTTCCCTAGACACTTCGGCTTTGTGGAGTTCCAGACAGAACCTCACTTTGCAATTCCTTGCCAAGTAACTTGTTCTCTTTTGACGGGTCCATGAGTAAAAGGGAATCAGCAATGCATTTCATTTATGAAAGTATTTATAATGGGATTTCTGAACCATGATATCAGAGCTACTGATCAAAGGAAGACAGAGAGAGACAGACAAGGTACATCATTTGCTTTACAACAATCTGAACTAAAAAGGTGGTGGGGGCACTGACTAGAAGATAGCATTCGAGGATAGTAGCCCATTAAATGCATTTTCATCATATTCAAAGGGAAGCCACTTTGTATCTAGCAAGAACCTTCTGTGCAATATGGCTAGATTACAACAGACATATCTCTGTGACAAACATGTTAACCCATTTTAATAAAGTGATCTTGTAATTAGATCTACTGGACTTATCTCAACTTTCTTTTTTCCCCTTGTTATTGTTGCAATTGTGATTGTTGGTAATAAAGGCTGGGTTGGGATGTGATCTTTTTACATGTGGGACAATTGTTAATAAAAGTACATGCAATCTAAGGCCTTCTAACCCAGGCCTGGCTTGAAATGCAGGCCCTGTCACTTTGTATTTCATTACTGAACTGCCCAGAGCACCTTAGAGCCATTTGTTAGACCTAATGATTATAGCTACCAAAAAGTATTTTTAACTTTTCCAGAGCTTTAAAAGTCAGTGGCAATCTCAATGCAGATTTGTCACTGCCAGAAATATTTAGAAGGAGAGGGCTAACTCCAGGAAGGCAGGACTCCTCTTTGGGGGTACTTGGAATGAAGAATTCTTGGAGGCTTTTGAGCAGGGCTATAAAACTCCACTTGAAATGGGCCTTAGGAGAACTGATGTCATCTTGGCCCTGTGCCTCTTCCCCCACCCCCACCCCCCTTCCCTCCCAGCAGGCAGCTCTAAACAACATTTGTGTGATCAGGTTGGGAGGGAGGAACCTAAAACCTTTAATAGGGGGAGGCAGGGGAGAATCCACATTTTTCCATCAGTAACACAATTGCATTATTAATTCCTGCTCAGGCAATGTTCTCCAGGAGGGGCACACACACAGGGAATAGAACATTTGCATGATTTCCTTGCCAGCAGCAGTTTGGAATCCCTCTCCTTGCATACAGTGCTAACATGTTAGATGGGGGCACCATCGAGGCTGCGGCCTTAATGGTGTGTGCTTTCTCTTCATCCCTGAGCAACAGTTAGAGAGAGGAAAGTCAGTGTCCCACTGGAGTTATTGAAAACCTCTAGCTGGGCAGACAGGCCCTATAGAATAACTGGATCGACTTTGAACTGTTAACACTCATGCCACAGGCTGGAACAGATCATTCCAGAACTGCTCTAGGATTCTTTCCCCCTTCCCTTTTGTCCCTCCCATCCCCTCACCCCCCCTACCCCCCCTCAAGATGAGATGTTTGAAAGAAAAAGAGACAGAAACAGAAAGAAGGGACACAGGACAGAAAGATAATGGGGAAGAATGAAAGTCTGAAGGGTTTTGTCAGCTAAAGAGAGTTATCTGGACAAGCACACAGTCAGAAGTGATGGATAGCACACACAGAGCTTTGCCAGGCACTCAAACCCATCCATTAGTCTGCAAAGGCAGAGGGAATTAGACGCCAGTAACCTGATAACATTTACTATTTTACTAGAAGCCTGGTGATCACTTGGGCAGGTGGCTGCCCTATTAAGTTATTCCCATCAAGAGAAACTAATGCACACCCTGACCATCTGCCCGCAAGGCTGAGTTAAATGACTATGGCCTTCCGACCATGCGCCACTTTTTCAGGACCCAACTGGACAGAGCACTTTAAGATCCAAATGATTGAAGGGGCATGATTTAGGACTGGTTGGGAGAGTTTTCCCTCCATTGTAAACAATCCATCTCAACACAGAGAGAACGGCAGCAGTGGAGGGGAACACAGTTTGTTTTCCTTAGTCCAAGAAGAAAGGGAAATTCTGGGGCTCACAGGTTTTTTTGAAGCTATTATTCACAAAGGTATTGATGTAGCTTTTGCTGGAGGGGGAAATCCATTTGAATTGTCTACATTTCCTAAAAAATTTCCATTCTATAATGATAGACATAGTACCTTGAGAGAGAGTGCGACATGATACTGAGTATTAAAACAAACAAACAAACAAGCAGCTGTTTAATATTCTACTGCCCTTATGTTATTTATTGGTCAATAGGACTGATTTCTGCACTGAAAGTAAACTGAGGTTTGTGATCCACTTAGAATCACATGATGATGCACACATTAGAACATGAGCTGGGAGCCTAGGTCCTGAACACTGGATTGAGAGGGAAGGATTCTGACATGAAGGTCAGAATTGGAACCAGAAAACCATATATGATGTGGATTAGATAGCCACAGAGATCCCTTCCAACTTTTACATTCTCTAATTCTGGTTTGAATTTCAATTTTGTTAATTATTATCTTTGAGAGTAAACAGGGTTTGCATTTCAATTCTGCTAATTATTAGCTGTATGACCTTGGAAAGGTCACTCACCTTTCTGGGCCAGAGTTTCCAACTACATAAATGAAAGGACTGAGGGGATAATTTCTAAGGCCTCTCCCAGCTCAAAAGTCTGTGGTTTTATGAAATTGAGCCCATTCTCCACAGCAGTAGCTATCACAGTTTATAATGTGTCACGCTAGATGGGAGTAGGATTAGGTGGTGGTAATGGGGATTGGGGGATGAGGAACAGAGAGCCCTTCTCTGTATGACAAAGCCAACATTCCTCCACAGGGTCTCCCCCGGGGTGCTTAGCCTTGAGAAAGGAAAACATCTCTACTAGGGGCAGCCTAGACTTTTGGCCCTCCTGTTACTCAAGACTTGGAAGCTGTGGGTGAATGCTGAGCAGCACAGGGACTGGGCCTGGGACCTGGCCAAGAATGGAAGGGCCATCCAGATTGCTTCCCTCACCTTGAATTTGTGGATCCTGTTTGCCAAGGTGGACCCAGCCCACTGCTAAATTTTTAGACTCACTATATAGTTCTGCCCATTACTTCTTACCCTAAAGGTTGAGGGAGGCTAGAAGTAGTATGACATTCCTAACACAAAGCCTTTGGAAAAGCTATACTGGGATAAAAATTCTGGGTTGAGATTTTCCAATGAAGCAGTGGAACACTCATGGAACGGGAGAAGCAGACCTACGGTGTTTGTTCTTTTTCCCCTCTTAGGGGAAAGTAAGGAGCTGAGTCAGGACACTCCAAGTTGACCCAGGACCCCAGTCAATTTAGGAGTATCTTGATTCAAGTGACTACTCCTTCTTTTCTCCTAAGGGGAAAAAAGTGGACAAATACCATAGGTCTCCTTCCTCCATCCCAGGACACTGAGTATGTGCCTCGTCGAACTGATTTAGAGACTTGGATTCAAGTCTAGCCTTTGGCACCAACTTGTGTGATCTTGGACGCATGAATCTACCTCTCTGTTCCCCACTTTTCCTACCTGCAAAATAATTCCCATTCGTCCCCCCTCCCCCACCTCATAAGAACACAGAGTAAAAAACGTCAGGGAATTCACAGATATACCACTTGGAAATGAATGTTCCCTAAATAAGTGGTCCCATTACTGTGGACCAA